AGAATGAATGATTTATGAATGCTGTTATAGCCGATGTCACAGTCCACTTTTGTTGCCTTTGAGATTTTACTCATTAGTCTGAATAATAACTGTCACTAATTCAAGCTGTTCTCGAATGGCTTTTTGAATAGAAAGAGAGGGAGAGAGTGCGAGGGAGAGAGAGGCAGCAATAGAGAGGAGAGAGGCCTGAGAGATTAACTCCAGTGAGCTCACTCTGAGAGGCCCAGGAACGGCTGAATATTGTTCTAGTGGTGGGGAGATGGGGAGCTGGAGGGGGGGCCGAAAGGAAAAAAATCCCTATGCAGCCAGAGAAATGAACTTGATGATCTCAGGGGGGCGGGGGGAGGATCACCATTCCTTGCTCCTGACAATCAAAATTAGATTGGCCAGCACTGTGTCAACACTAGCCTCAGTTAAGGCATGACAGGGGAGGGAGGGAGCGCAACCCCCCCCGTGGGTGTTTGAGAGTTTGCCATGTGAACTATGGAGACCCCACAGTGCCTTTCACTGACTGCTCAGGCCTCAAAGAAATGTACAGCCCCTTTTTATAGGCCAGCACTGTAACCGACAGCATCTCTGCCCCAAGCTCTATATTTTGGCAACTCGTTATTGCTGTTTTTGCTGCCATGTTGCATTAAACCCTCACAATCTGCACAACTGGGACTACAATCTGCGAGGCATGTGAATCAGAACAAACAATATGAACTATAAATGTGAGCAATAGAGCATTAGTTCTGCATTTCTCTTTCACTCATCCTTATAATTTGAACTTTTAGGGTATGCAAAGGCAAATGTATTCAAACAGAACAATTCATACTTTACATGAACAGAAAAAAAAGTCTTTAAAAGAACATTTCTAAAGAAAAATATTTGAGGGAGAAAATGCAAACACATTCATGCTAAATAATAAATGTACCTGATATTTTTGTAGCAATTTATCTTGTATTTAAAGCAAATATGGATATGCAAATATGGAAAAATCAAAATAAAAGCTTCCTAAAATTAGACAAGCAGGCAACAAAGAGAAATTAATTCATGAACGTGTTTGAATAAAAAAAAAAAATTATTAACATGAGATTGTCATATGTCATTTTTCTCAACGTTTCTGTGGAACATTAAAGTGCAGATGTTACAATCACAGTAAATTGTTCCTTTTTTAAATGTTTTTTGTCATTTTCTTGCATGAATCACACTGATGTCTGTGAAGGGGGGGGGGGGGGGGGGGAAACTCACTTGATCAAGGGTTGTGTTTTTGGAGGTTTGATCAGTGACCTGGATTATTTCAGTGTGTCCTGCCCATGAGAGAGGGAGTGCAGCTGTGTCCTCATATAACCTTCTCAATTTTTGTATTATATCATCCCCATAAATGTAATAGGAGAATTAACAGCTTTAACAATACTTTTGAGAGAAATAGCATCTTGATGTTTTTGTAGGTTGTCATTACCTTTGTGTCCCCACCCTACATCTGTAATATTAACTGCACTGCATGTGGTATGCTACAGATTGAAGATGTTGTTCCAAAAACAAGTCAGATTTAGGATTATTACCGGGCTGCAGGACGACAGCGTGGGACAAAAGGTTTTGTTTTTCACTCTCAGGCTGATTCCTGTTGTTGCCAAAAGTTAGATGTCCGACTGACTTTCAAGTAATCACACACTGCTGTGAGGAGCATTCAAAATAAGTGGATGGAATGTGCAGATTGCCGAGTATTGGCAGAGGAAAAGTGGCCTCGTGTTTTCAGTCATCATTAAGATGTTGTACCTGTGCGAAACACGCAGAGAGTTCATTGCTCACATCCTGAATGAAAGATTTTTCTCTTTGATATGGTGTTTCAATTTCATGACCTCTGTGGGTTTTAGTTTGGATAAGTTGTAACATCTAAGGATTATGATTTGTATTAAAAAATAAATCTACTTTACATATGAATATAATTGTAGATACATACAGTAAATACATTCCTTTCTTTTTTAAGACTCATAAAATAAAATCAATAACATATTGGGACTTTTTTATGTTTTTTTGCCATTTCTTCATCATTTCTGTTAAGTCAAAATGGATGGGGCAGCTGTAGACAGACAGGAAATGCAGCAACGGTCTTGATGTCAGATTCAAACCTGGGCCTTTGCGGTAAGGATTTGAATAACTTCTAGGAACAAATTATTTCATTAAACTATAGTCAGTAGACAAATATTCACTGCTCCTGTGCTGTATGTCATGTAATTTCCCTTTAATTATTTTCAGGTATACGATTTCACTCAGATACGATTTCACTCTCTTACTTTGAAACAAATCTGTGTATTCATCACTGTTGTCCATCTATCACGGGTATCAACTGTACTGGTGAATCTTTAATGTTGTTGCATACCCCACAGAATAGAAATTGTAAAACTACAAGAGGATGTACAGATATGAGTATAATTAAGGTCTGACTGTGAGAAAGGAAATCCTCCAGGGTAGGGATGGGCATCCTGTCCCCATGTATACTCTCAGATCTGTGGGACGGCTCAGAGACATGCAGCCCCTCAACAGCATCTACAGCAGTGTCAGCATCAAACCAGATGGTGCGCTGCGAGCACAAAAGAGTGACAGCTGTCATTCACTGAGACCGTGACACTCTGCAGGGAACTCCACCTTCTGATTAACCAGAGTGGAACAAAATGAAAATGGATCAACATTAATAGGATTTCTCAGAGTAAAATGTAATTTTTTTTAAATCACAGTTAAATGTAATTGGATTTTAAGCTGAAGACACAAAACAATACTTGTAACATGTTGTCTGTTGAGTGTTTTGAATAAAAAACATTTAAAAAAAACAAATCAGACATTGTTCAAGAAATAGTTGCTAATGTAACATTAATGTTGTATTTACTACCCCAAAACATGATTTTGTGTCTACTTTGAGAAGGTAGAATAAACGCATAATATATGATTTTTTTAAGAACAACAGAGTGAAACAGAAATTCAATATGCAATGAACCACACGCTTCACTATTATTCCTTGTTGAGGATTTGGATTCTCAATACTTACATCTTGTGTCTCCCCTGTTTTATTGTCATGTGAGATTCTTTCATCCCTGAGTCCCCTCTCTAAACATAGCCGGTCACTGAGCTTGAAAAAAAGGTGTTACTGATGACTGTGTCCAGCAATTTAAGCTATTGAGAGCTGCCCCCAATTCACCTTCTTTCTTAACTTTATGGCTATAATTGCCATAAAACTCTTCCCAAATTCTCCCAGCCCCCGCCAGCCTTTCTTGAAGGCTTTGTAAAATCTTCCATAATTGCCATTGTACTGTACTGTTTTCATCCACAAGTGCCTCCATTGCGTAGTGTGGTCTTTATTTTATGAAGTTGGGTCAGAGTTCATCATGTTAGTAGTCATACAGCTTTGGGTGCAGCATTCAGTCCCTAACACTTCATGTCCAGCTTGTACTCCTTATGTGCCAAAACAATAAAAACATCCATCAATGTCCTCCCTTGTCTATGTAGGGCGGGTATGACTGATGATGTGTACGGCACATTGATGCACTTGAGGGGCAGGGGACTGTGTGAATGTTTGTTTATGTCAAGTGAGGATTTGTCAAAAGGTTTATGTCATTGTTGGCATCAGTCTCCTCGAGTTTGTACTGGGTGGTCTTTGTGTGTTTGCATCCGTAAAGAGCTTCGTTCTCACTCTCATTTGTCCCCTATTGATTCTCTAAATTAGGTTGATGAGAGGCCCTCCTATCAGGTGGCATATTAATTGGGTCAGGCTGGATCTTATATGACATCCAAATAATGGCAACCCGAACCCCAAGACTAAACCTTTGTCCCCTGAACGCTCTCTTTCACCAATTAGCCTCGCGGTGCATCTGGTTGCTGCCACCTCTGCTGCCCGTTAGGCTACTGTTTTCTAAGAATCAGGATGCCACCGGTGTGTGTGTGTGTGTGTGTGTGTGTGTGTGTGTGTGTGTGTGTGTGTGTGTGTGTGTGTGTGTGTGTGTGTGTGTGTGTGTGTGCTTCTGAAGGTGTCAGAGCAACCTGGGGGGAGTTCACATTCTTGAATAAAAACAAATTCATATTTAATTTTCAAAAACTGAAACCATTGATTCACTGTTTGAATTTGACTACTTTAAGGACAACATACTAAATAAATAAGAAAATGAAAGTTTTAAAACATCACCTATGTTGATAGACTATGATTACAGAAAGTATCTGCACAGATATTGAAATATTTATTACACATTTCTAATTTCAAATCTATCGCCACATGAGATGACAATGATGATGTAGCCTATGATGAAATATTGCAATATTATCAGTAATATGACCTGGGCATTATTCTCAAGGAAAATTCCAATCAGTGCTCCCTGGGATGAGAGATCTAATAATAATTGCAATAACTGCTTATTGCCATAGGTGTCGCCAAAGACAGTCGTAACAAAACAGACATATTTGAGATTGTCATAAAGGGAACATACAGTAATGTAATGTGATCATTTTCATACTTGTATTATTTCTACTCCACCCAGTGACTTCCAGGGGTTACTCAACTGGCTTGTTGTATTGTATGCCTTTGTTATTCTATATGACCCTGTTTCTGTTTATTTGATTCTCTTTGCTTTTTAATGACTGTTTTTAAGTGCCATATTTCTTAATGCTCTTAATGTTAAAAAATGTTGTAAAGCATTTTTAATTGCCTGTGGGTTGTGTTGAAAGGTGCTATATAAATAAACTTGCCTTGGGTTACAGCAGGAAAAACAAGTGTGCATAACATTTTAGTTATGACACTTTACAGTGCAGCAGCCATGGAGAGACACAAGTATTAGGCTTACATTTCGTTTTACTGCAGAATATTTTTCCTTTGGTCAATACATTTCTTTTTATCCCATCCCAGTTTCTAAAAGTCTAAGTTGATGTCCTTAAATCTCGTATTTTGTAAGCCCAACACCTTTTAGAAACTCCATTTTGTTCACCAGTCTTCAATTAAAAAAATAAATAAACAGCCAATCCCATAAGCTAAATAAATGATTTATTGTACAAAAGAAAAATGACAGTAAATAAACAACAAAAAGGCAAAAATAACAATTGAACAGTTATTCATATGCACAACCATTAAACTACAAAGTTGGGGTGATTTCTTTTTTTTAAACTACACAATGAACGGAGGAATGACGGGGGAAAGTGAGAAAAACATTAGAAGCGGCGAACCTGTCCAAAATATCATAAATGTCAACATTTGGGAAGGTATTTACATAGAGATTTCTTACTCTCATATATTTATATGAAAACACTCTCACACATACCAGTATACAAACACTAAAATTCAAAATGCAACTTCTCAACGAGCCATAGATGTGGGCACAGCTAATTATTTCTTTTGACCACACATTACCAGAGCCGCTACCATCAGTCACTCCGTCAATAACTCAATCTGAACCTGAGAGCAAGGAGACCCTGTGGTTTTCATCTACATTTTTGGGGGCTTTCTTATAGGTTAAATGTCTGCACAGATTAATTGATGACAAATTTAAAAAAGCAAGGTTTTTAGGAGGCTAGAGTGAGGTAGACAGACTTTGAAATGCATTGTAATTATTATTAATAAATAGATAATTGACCAGTTGAATTATTTCCAACCACTGCCCCTAAACCAGCTTTTTCCTCCCTTTGAAATGTTCTAGCATATTCCTGCGATCACAAAAGTTACAGCACACAACATGTCATCCTCTACTTTGGCTAACAATCCCTGGATACTCCTCCCATTCTTGCATGGGTGCTTTCACTTAAAATACACACAAAGGCAAAAACATGTCTATGCAAGACAGTTAAAACATTGTTTAAGTCAAAAGGACGTAGTCTCTCTAACATGGTAACAAATTAAAGTTTGTGGGCGGGCCATTTCCAGTTAAAGCATTCTATTTTCATTGATCCAGACACTTAAGATACACATGACATATCACCCAAAGTGGGAAAGGAGGCCTTTCAGGCCGCTGGTACGCTACGTCCAGGTTCCAGATTGGATAAAAGTGTGTGAGTGTATGGACAGGCCCCCGCGTCAGACAAAAGTCAGGAAAGCGTGATGGTATCAAAAAGAAGTGATAACCTCTCTAGTTCATGGTTTATCACCAGAAGCTTGAATATTTTTTTTCTTTTTTATGCTATACTGGACAAGCTCTCTTGTGCTTGGTAAAACACAAACAACACTTTACCTCCTCAAGCCATGAACGTTCCATAGTGCAAAATTTATTGTTGGTAAGGTAGAGTGCCCCAAAAAAGGTTTTTGTACCCCTTTTTTTTAATATATACATATATCATTTATATATAATGTCAGAAGGCTCTTCCTTTATCCAACAGCATAGTGCTTTCGTTTACAACAAAAGGATATCTTTGCTTTGACATCCAGGAGACAAAGACAGACTTTTAGCGTTTCTAATCTACTCTGTGTTCAAGCACTAACAATATTTTACGATGATGACAAAACAGTTGAGGTGGAGGCGGGCATTTTAAAATGCAATCAAATGTTTTCTAATCTAAAGTCTGTGGTTGAGTTACATTCTCTTGATTTCCTTGTGTTATGTGGTTTGTTGTGATTTTTAAAAGCTATTATTTCAGAGCACAGTACTAGAGTTAGAGGATTTTGCATTTTTATCTTTTTTGAAACTAGTATTGAGAAAAAGTTAATTAACATCAAGTGTAATGGATGCAAACAAGTATGAGTGTGAAAAGTTCAAGTGATATTTATGTTATCATGTTTCAGCTCAATAGTTCACAGCAGGCTGAACATTACAGTCACTCTGTGTTTTTATTTCAGGATCTTTGCCCTCTGTTTGTCTTATAACTCTCACTCTCAAGCCTCTGCAAGTTATGAAATAGTGCATTTGCATCTCATTCAGGCAAAAGTTGAAGGTGTGACTGGTATTTTCCTTTTGTCACGTATAGAAGAAAGAAAATGTGTCGGGTTCTCGTCATCCCGCGGGATCCTGCTCCTCCTCCTCTCCCAGGCAGTGCCGAATAACTTGAGTGTTCCTCCATTACACTTCTTAGTTTGAGACTTTAATGTGGAAGTAAAACCTAAATAAGTCTTATCTAGTTTGGCAGAATGTCAGAAATAGCTACACTGGCTCCATGTATTCACTTTGAAAGATAGAGATAAAATAGCACAAGCTGTTTTCTCCCTCTTTTCTTTTTCAGTTTTACAAGACTGCAAATAAAAAAGATCAAAGTAACTGTGAAAGGTTTTGTGGACACTCGAGAATGTCACACTGGGGTGTTATACATTAATAGAGGGTATAGGTTTGGTTTCGGATCTCCTTTAACACTTAAATCTCTAGAGCACATTTCTAAACATCTGTAAACAAGATTTTGGATTTATACTAACAGTATTTCTATAGGTAAACCCTCCTCACGTACGTGTGGATTTAGTTCTCTTTGTTAAAGTGAAAGATTGCAAAATAATTCTGATCATGCCCCGTTGTAAACATTTTTCTCATTCTCAAGTAAATGTATCTGTAAAATTAAGTTTCTTCCAAACTCACCTTAGGACTGAAATTAATTTAAAAATATTGTATATGCTTATGTCTCCTGTCAACTCCACCCACTAACCTGGACATTTCACAAAGATGCCGTTAAAAAATCAACTTTGAAAAACCCACAAAACTAACACATACTCTATAACATAGTTGTGTCTCATTTACTGTTTTCGGAAGCTGCTTCGCAAAGACAACCTCTTTAAATCATTCATGATGTATTTCCATCACTCAGTCCTTTGTTGATTCATGTTTAAATAATAATTTTTTTTTCCTTTTTTAAACACCTTGAATCAATTTAATTACTGGAAACATGGAAACCAAGTGGGATGATTTTGTTGCTGAGCAAAAGTGAAATCTGGCTCCGAGGAGTGGGTTCTGGTACCAGGGGAGACTCCGTAAGGGTTTTGGGTGTTTTGAAGCGATGGTGGCTGTACACAAGTGTGTGTCTCCCCTGCAGCCTAAGAGCAGCCACATCTGTCCACCACCATCCCCGGGATTTTGCCGTGAATTATCTGCTGCTTGTCATTGAAGTAGAGCATGTTAATGGGGGACATCTTGGTCGGTGTGCAGCAGGGCCCTGCGGAGCCTCGGGGGTTGGCGTGCTGCACCAGGTGGGTGTGCGGGTATTTCTGCATGAACATGTACTCGCACTGGCCTGAGCAATAGTTGGCTTTGTAGCGTTTGGGGGCAATGATCCAGTCCCAGCCGAAAGCCTCGAAATCCACAGTCAGAGGGTAGCGGCAGCAGCGGGACTCGGTGGAGTGCTCGTCGCAGTCCAGGCCGAGGTTTCTCCGAGAGCGCTTGGTCGTCTCGAGAACCTTCACTTCCAGGAATGGCTGCTGGAATCAGGGGGAGGAGAGGCAGGACAGAGAGAAAGAGGTGGTTATAAGAGAACAACAACACAGCTGATAGCAGTTGAGGAACATTTATTTACTTGACAAGAAGTTACGGATTTTTTTTAACATTCTGGGCAACCCAAATACAAAACATCTACAAGACATAACTACTTAATGCCACTGTTCACCTCATGTATTAAAGTGACATACACTAATTAGCTGTTTTTCAAGCGTTAGATGAGAATATCTGTACACCTCTTATGGCACATTTCCACTGCAGCGGGGCAGCCCCGTTTAAGCGTCCGTAATGGCACATTTCCACTGCAGCGGGGTAGCCCCATTTATGCGTCCCTAATGGCACATTTCCACTGCAGCGGGGTAGCCCCGTTTAAGCGTCCCTAAGCGTCCTCGCTCAGGCCTCGGGCTGCCTCGCTGGCCGTCCGAGGACGTGGCGCATTTCCATTACAGTTTAGGACCTGGGGTAGCTGCCCTGATAGAACCACGATTTTATGGGGCCGGAAAAAGAGGGAAAAAATACCCGCTAGCCGGTGCTATGCTATATGGAAAGGCCACCAAAAAATGGCCTGGCCGCTTGAGGACGATTAAGGATACTTAAACGGGGCTACCCACTGCAGTGGAAATGCGCCATTAGTGTGTTTCAAATAGGGCCTAGAGTTGGGAGGTTATTATCTTAGCTTAGGTAGGAGGAAAGAGCTAGTTTTCCAATGCCCATTTGGCAGTGATTACTGGACGCTCCAAACTTATGTCAAGTCAACTGCGATGTATCAATATATATAGCAATATAACTGCAATCCCCCCCTGCCTGAAACACCTCCATTGGACTCCTTTGTTTACTTCCGCGACATAGTGACATCACAAGGTAGCACTCGTGCTTCTATTGACTAGCGCTCCAACACATTGTGGTGGGCTACATCTCTAAGCGGTTGACCAATCACAACAGAGCCGGCCAGCTATCCAATCAGAGCAGACTGGGCTCTGGTTTCAGACAGAGGGTGAAACAAGGTGCTGCAGCACAGGTAGTATGAGAAAAATAAAGAACTTTTTTGAACATTAAAGCATGAATAGAACATTAATGGTTAAAGTAGTTGAAGTCTTTTTCTTCTTCGAGTCCGTAGCAATCTCAGATGTCGTTCTGCCAGTATCGGGCACAGGCCGCAGCTGATGGGGTAGGTTCTGCCAGGTCTTCTGGACTGCACCGGGGGGCATTGGCACATTCCAGTAGGTGGGACATTGTCTGCACTGATCCACAGCTGCATGTGTCTTCTGTGGTGTAGTTCCACACTTTCATCAGTGCTTTGCACCTCCCCTGTTCCACACGCAGTCTATTAAGTGACTTCCAGGTTGTCCAGCCAAGGTCGTGGCCACTAGCGAGGCTTTCCGTTGGTGTGATTCGTCTGTCCAGCCATTCAAGAGCTTCTGTGTAATTTCTTTGCCATTCATCTTCCCAGATGTTGGTCCTTGCTGCTTGTTTGGTTGTCTGGAGGGGCAGGACTGTCTGCAGAAAACTGGCTCTGGATCGGAGCCTGCGTGGGGGTGCTACGTGGCCATGCAAGGGGTGTCTGATGTCTGTCTCCTGTGTTCTCCGTTCATCTTGAGCGATACCTAGTCGTCTGATGTTCGGGGGAGAGATGCCGGCTAGCGCGGTAGAGGCGAAGGGACAGGCAAGATNTGCACTTTTAATTATACAGGACTGTCTCAGAAAATTAGAATATTGTGATAAAGTTCTTTATTTTCTGTAATGCAATTATGTATGACATTTTTGTTTTTTTAATTGCATTACAGAAAATAAAGAACTTTATCACAATATTCTAATTTTCTGAGACAGTCCTGTATAATTAAAAGTGCATGAATATAAAAAATGGAAGAACACAGGCTACTTCCCCTTCTCTGCTGATTATAATATCCTTCTAAATGCATTTTATATAATAAAGATATATTTTTAACATCATTTCCTTGTTTACATTTTTTTAAATGCATCAACTAAAGTGACTGATTTGCAAAGTATGAAAATATATTAGTTTTTCTGGTTTTTCTACTTCTTCTTCGGGGCTTTTATTTTGGAAAAAAAACGGAGAGGGCTGCGGTTGGTTTTACGGAAGAGCTCTCAACTTCCGGAAAGGATTGTGTTTTCGCATATCGATAAATAATTCACCTTCCTGGTTTGAACATTACCTTGTCAGGTAACTTGTGTACATTGAATTCAATTGCAATAACGGATGTTAGTACAGTAGTCTATCTAGATCAGGGTATATGTTGTGTCGTCGTGAGGACTTTTACCTCGCCGCTGGTTCACGTTTATTCTCGAACCAGTGTCGCCTGCTCGACTGGTTAGCATCCGCTCGGCGCTAGCTTAAAGGTAACGTTAGCAACAATATATAAGCGACCCATGATCTGATACCTTATTCGCGTATCAGGTGGTTTATTAAAATGTCGTTCTGCTCCATGCTTTAAAGTGTTCACAACCGTATACTTATAATGGATCCACGTATGTTGGTCGGTGTTTTGCGGTTGTTTACATTTTGTACTCCATTTTCCGTCTGACGCCGCTAATCACCAGCCGTCTGCCAGGCTATGCTAAACGCTTTGTTTCTATTGACAACCGTGTATCAAATGTCAGTGTTCTGTATTATATATATATATGCAGTATTGTCACTACTACGTCTGTCGAGCGAAATGTGTTCTTGTTGATATTGATCTGAATAAGTTCATCCGGTCCTTTGTTCTGCCGTTGTCTGATCGATGTAACACGGATTTCACATGCGACCCAGATTAAATATCAGCCATTTTATTTCAGGATTTAGATACATGTTTATGTAAGTTAGGGATCTGCAGTATGCTATAATGCAAAAATAACCTTACTGCTTTATAATACTTTGTCATTTACATAAAACAACATCGTGAGTACGTAACACCGTGTCAGTGTTGTATGTTGGGCTATGCAGACTGTATGTGCTGTACTGAATACATCAATATATGCTCACAGACCCCTCACTGTATACAGATTCATTTAGTAATGCTCCAATAAGTGATTTCCGGACCGACCCGTTTATTTAGGCCGAGGCCATGATATAAGATTAATCTTGCAATTACAGATAAGATAAGGACAGACATTTGGATTGCTATGCTATATTGCCTTCCAAAGAAGGGATTGTAAACTCGCACAACCCAAACCCCTAAACTTTTTTTTTCTTGAAAACATAGGCTAATACAGGTCAGACCGTATATTCTTACTGATAAGCATGTATAGGCTATAGGTTGGCCTACAAAAATACTATTGTTTCCCCTTACTTACAACTGATAGTGAAATCCCTTCTCTGCAGCTTAGTACAATTTCAAAAAGGTTGACATGGATGGATATTTCTTAATTATGGTCCAATTATGTATAGGCCACATTTATAACATGCATATCTACGTATTATCTATACAATACTTGTTAAATTGTTCTGTTTAAATGCACTTAAGGACACATTCTGTATATACAAAACATATAGTTAGTTGTATAGCTGTTTCTGTGAACATTCAGAGCACAACACACTGTATACAATTCCTTGTATTTGCATATACTTACTTGGCCATTAATTCTAATTGTGCCTGTGTGTAATTGTGATTTTGTTGGCTTATTTTTTATGTAGTTTTGTTTATTTTGTATGTTTAGCTCCATGTTTTTATTTGAATAGTTTTGACTCACATCTCTTCTTGTATATGTCAACAGTAGCCCGTAAAGCTGATTTTGGTTGTTGTTGCTCAGGAGGAAACTGAAGTGTACCTTCTGAAGCAGAATACAGAGGCTGTGAGTGGGTCATCAGGCAGTCTCCCTATGTCAGGCCGAAACGGGTCTGCAAGTGATGCAGACTGTCGGATCTCTGAGGACTGCCATGTCCCAGATGTGGAGCTGATGGAGCTCGGGCCACTGTTGGAGGAGGGAGGGGGGCGGCCTGCAGCATCGAATGGCGTCCACTCAGAGGTAAGGCTGTTCCACAAAGTTCCCCAGAGAATAGTTGTTATGACTCAATTGCTTCAGTATTCTCCTGTTATTTCATTAAAGGGAGCCACAATGCTTGCTGACGAGGAAGAGGAGGATGATGAGGTCGAAGAAGTCCTGACCTTACCACTTCAGGCCCACCATGCCATGGAGAAGATGGAGGAGTTTGTACATAAGGTATGATGTATTCTTTGTTTAATAAACAATATTCAATGGGTACCGATCAGGGCTCGACATTAAGGGCTGCCCGATGGCCAGGGGCCATCTAGTATTTAGCTCGGGACATGAAGCCTCACCTGCTGGTTGCCCGATCGGGCAATCTATTATACCAGTATCATGCAGCTCGCGGATCCAGTAATGAGTGACCCGACAGTAAAACTAAACATATCTATAAGTAGTTTAGGTAGTTTGAGAGGTGATTAAAATAGCTACGTGTGATATTCTAACCTGAAGTGTGTGTTTTGTCCGCTCACCGCTGCATGTGATCATGCAGAGCTGCGTATCGACTCGTCAGCAGCAGCTGATCTCTCTCTCCAGCCAGATTAGACTTCACTCGCGTTTATGTCCATATCGATCAGATCCAGCTAGTTCTAGCTAATGATACCTAATGATACCTGCTTATTAAAAGACACCGTGACCTAAACAATAAGTGTCGCTATGTAACCGGGTGAGGCCACAAAGTATAGCGCAGCATTATGCATTTGTTTACATGCCTACCGGAACCCCGAGGCATTACCAACAGATCAACGCACAATCAACCCACACAGCACATCTCTTTCTCCACATTAAGTGTTACACATTAGAATGGACTACTCTTGTCTGTCACATACTCTTCTTGTCTGTCACATAAGTGGCGCAACTGAAGCGGTATTGCGCTAAAGGGAAATTNCCAACGGGAACTCTGACGTCGCCATTTTGTATGCTTCGCGGATGCGCTCGGCTCCTCTCGACTGCTGCTCGGGTCTGCTCGGTCAGCTTCTGGATGAGGAGGCATTCCTTCGACCAACTTACAGTAGATAACATTACAAACATTTTTAACAGGGGCCATAATAGCGTAAATAATGTTTGTTTTGGCAGTTATAGCTGCATGTAATGTTTTCTACTTTTTTACATCTGGGAAGGCATTTGCCTTCATCAGATGGAAAGTGTCTTGACAAACAACTTAAGTATTTATTATAGCTATGCAGGGCATGCAAGCGAGCAAACACAAACAAGTGAAATGAAGAATACAATTGAAATTGTAATATTGTGGTGGTTCATCTTATAATTCAGTCTAGAGAATGCACCAGACAGCATCTAAGACCTGCAAAAATCTAAATGTTCTAGGGGGAGGCCCCCCAAACCCTTTGTGCGTCCTTTCGTCCGCGCACATTTTTCAGGGCAATCTCTATTGGGCTCAGGGCCATCTGTAAATTAGCTTAGATGGCCCACAGGGCCATCTCCCAAAATCCTTAATGTCATGCACTGCCGATTCAGGTTACGGCACCAATCCATCAAGATCTCATCAAACCACACTGCCAGTCGAAGGTTTATACTAATGTTTGACACTTTGGAAGGGTTTGCCTATTAGGTCAGAACAAAGTCAGTCAGATGTTTTATTTTTTGAATAAATTGCACAAATCAAATCAAGCACCTTTGATTTTAAAGCTTGGAAATAAACCAACAACAAGTGTTACTGTTATAAATATATAAGTTACCTCTAGTTTCAACAATAGATTCAGCTCAATCGGAAAAACATGATTGTTAAATATTGTTTGGTAAACGTTCCTATGTGGCATAATAAGGCTAATTAAATATCTCATGACATTACGCAATATGTCTCCCCACATTAATAT